CCTAAAGAAGAGTCCTTAAAGGAGGCCTCAACTTACCTTTGCTTAGTATAAAATGGAAGAATGGTAGTAATGGTAGTTATAGTTGTACCCCATTCCTCCATTCCCTACTAACCAAAGGTAAGGGGGTTTCTTATTATAGTTATGGTATAATGGGCCCCAAAGCCCTATTCTAATTACTAAGGCTCGTACATTACGCCCTAAACCCCAAACCCTAAAGAAGAGTCCTTAAAGAGGCCTAAAGCCCAGGTGGCGCATTGGCCTCCGCGAGACAAACCGCGATGAGCCGACCTTCAGTGAATGGCCGCCCGGCCGAAAGAAGAATCAGACACAGGGGGGCTTTCGGGGTTTAGGGTGTGGGTTTAGGGTTTGGGTTCAGGGTTTAGGGTTTAGGGTTTGGGATTTAGGGGTTTAAGGTGTGGGTTTAAGGGTTTAAGGTGTGGGTTTAGGGTTTGGGTTTAAGCTTTAGGGTTTAGGGGTTTAGGGTTGAGGGTTTAGGCTTTAAAGGTAAATATACGTATGGGGAGTTCTCTAAACAAGGGTACCTTTTGGGGTCCTTTTTTCAATACGGTGCCGTACTATTTGGGGGAGACAAAGGCAACACTACATCTGAAATGCATGTAGGTATGTATCGGGGCATAGGGCTCGGTGTTCATAACGCGTAGGGTGCGAGCTGCTTTGAGCTTGGTCGAGAGTATGAGGCCTCGGTTGTGCAATCAAACTTCCGTTCTTGAGCCAGGGTTCAGGGTTTAGGGTTTAGGGCTTAGGGTACTGAACCCCTAAACCCTATAGATCCCTTATGGATCCCTTTAAAGGAACCCATATAGATCCGTTGCTTACGATACATTCAGGCGCATTCTAGAACCTGGAGCCCACGCACGCGGCCTGGAATGGGATATTGGGACTACTATAGAGAAAACCTTAAAGGACTATCATGGGGATCCATGCCCCAATCCCTGCTAATAACGAACCAGACAGTTGATGTGTGGTAGATCCTGAACCCTACTTGGAGGCCCTTTTGACTTAGTAAGTAGGGTTAGTAAGGTAAGTTATGGGGATTATAATAGGGTTTCTAGGGGATACTAAGTAGACTTACTAAGTCAAAAGGGCCTCCAAGTAGATCCTAAACCGTGAACCCTAAACCCTAAATCGTAAAGCCTGAACCATAAATCCTAAACCCTGACATCTGACACCCGAAGTGATTAAGCGAGACCGAAGGATCGCTGGGGATGACTTGAAACCAAGGGCAGGGAAGAGCCCCAAGGCATGCTCAAGCGCGGGGTGAATAATATGTTTCTTAATCAGATTCCTACATGAGTGTGATTCTATAAACCCTTAACCCTAAACCCTAAACCTGCCCTGTAGATCCTTCTAGGAACCTTGGAAATAAACCGTGAATCCTGCAGGGCTTTGAGCGCCCCAAGCCTTGGATTGTTGGATCCCGTATCTTAGGGACCCAAAAAGCACATAAGCATAAGCATTTTATGGGGATATCCCCGCCTTCTTGGGCTCCATTATAAGGGGATTTACATGGGATATCCCTATCCTTATCTTTGCTTATGTGCTTTTTGGGGCCCTAGTATCTTACCCGGATCAGCAGCCCTGTAGATCCCCTCTGATGTAGGAACCTGATCAAGAAGCCCTTGGCCGATAGCCGCCAAAATAGTAGGATTCATATAAGGAACCCCAACAAACGCCCAAGGTTTCTTAATCAGGTTCCTACATTATCCTACTATGTCTGTAGCTAAACCCTAAACCCTGATCCCCCAACCCACCCTGTAGATCCCTTCTAGGAGGGGCGGGTTCCTACATGAGCCTTTAAAGGGATCACAAGGATTCCGTTACAGGGATAGATCCCTTCTACGTAGGATCCTTCTTGGAGGGTCGGGGGGCTTAGTAAGTAGGCAGTAAGTAGACTTATAAGTACCCTAAAAGGGACTCTCATTGGAGTTATGGTGCTTATAAGTCCCGAAAATAGCCAGTTACTAAGTCCCCCTAAACCCCAAACCCCTACAGAATCCCGATAGATCCCTTTAAAGGGGCCCTTAAGGAACCCCTTATAGTGACTAAGTCCCCCGACCCTCCAAGTTGGAAGGAACCCTGAAACCCGCCGGGACACGAGATCTGACCCCTAAACTCCTTCACAGTATACGCCAAAAAGTTGGAAACCCAATAGCCTCAATCCTTACAGTAGAAGCCAGAAAGTTGGAACATCATTGGCCTCATGCCCTTAAGGTAAAGTATAAGGGATCCTAGCACTAATCCTCCTAAAGCCATGTTCCAACTTTCTGGCTTCTACTGTAAGAGTAATGTATAGGGAATCCCAGCTCTATTTGGCCTTAATCCGGTTTCCAACTTTTTGGGGTTTACTGTACCCCAACGCGACCTCCTAAAAACAGCACGAAGGAACCTTACAGAAGCCCCTAAAAGAAGTTTTGAAAGGGCTTCCCATAAAACCCTAAACCCTAAAAACTAAAGCCTTAATCCTAAATTCTTGCCGCTCGGCCAAGGATTTCCTGGAACGCGAACGAATTCAGCGCGCCTCTGCTGACCGAGGGCTTTGGGAGCTGTTGGGCTTTGAAGGGTTTTGAAGGGATTCCGTTTAAGGGTAAAGGGTTTAGGGTTGACTATGGAATTCTTTGTCAACGCTTTACAGGGGCTCTTGTAAGATTTTGACTAGGCTGTTAGAAGGGAGTTTTTTGGTTTTGAATAATTAGTAAAACTGTTTCTCTAGGTATCCTGGATAAACATAAACCTAGCGTAACCATGCGTCTAGCATCCCTAGCTTTCTAAACCCCCACGGTCCCAAGTCCAGAAATCCTCTAGCGCTAAACCTTGGATAATGTTAAGATCATGGACGTCCTTGGCCCAAGCCCAAAACATCCACACTGAACTTCGAATCTTAAATTCCAAAACCTTATACAAGCCCTAAACCCGAAAGCCCGAATACTCAAAGTTTGCTTAATGTAGGAGCCTGATTAAGAAGCTTTGGGTTCCTCTTTGAGATTCTTCATATGGATCTCAATATTTTGGGGTCATAAGTTATAAGCACCGGATTTCTTAATCAGGTTCCGACATGATTTGAGACCATCTAGCTCGAACGACCGGCGACACTTGAAATCCTACGCCGAACTAACTACTAGGATGCCCAGTAGTTTTCCCTTTTTGTAGTCCTAGGTTCCTTATAAAGTTACACAATACCAAAAAGAGAGGCCTGTCTATTCTTAGGTTACTGGGGGGGACCCTATTTTTTTTAGCCCTTTTTTTTTTTTTGTTTTTGCCCTTTTTTTTTTTTTGTTGGCCCCGCCGCGGGAAGGAAGGAAGGAAGGAAGGAAGGAGGGAAGGAAGAAGGAGGGAAGGAGGGAAGAAAGGAAGGAAGGAAGTAAAGGAGGCAGGCAGGCAGGGAGAGAGGGGCCCTGCCGCGGGAAGGAAGGAAGGAAGGAAGGAAGGAAGGACGGAGTGTGTATATATATATATTTATATATAGTATATACAGTATGTGTAGTATAAACGGTGTATACAGTATGTATGGTAGATGTAGTAGATATAGTACATATATATAAATACATAGTATATATATAGTATATATATAGTATATATATAGTATATATATATAGTATATAAAGTATATATGTATATAGTATATATATATATATATATATGTATATGTCTGGTATATATATCGTATATATAGCATATACGGTATTTTTATATATTATATATATATATAGTCTATATATAATATGTATATATAATGTATATAGTGTGTATATATAGTATATATATATATATATAGTATAAGTAGTATATATAATATATATAGTATATATAGTATATAAAGTATGTATATAGTATATATAGCAAATATACTATAAAAAGTATATATAGTATATATAGTATATATAATATATATATATATAGTATATATAGTATATATACTATATATAGTATATATAGTATATATAGTATATATAGTATATATAATCAATATGGTATATATAGTAAATAAGAAGGAAGGAACGAAAGAAAGAAATCAATAAAGAAAGAAAGAAAGAGAGCCATGCAAGAACTAGAGAAATAAACAAATAAAGGATGCTACAAGTAAAAAAGAAAACAAGAATAGAGAACTAAGTAAATAAAGAAAGCTATAAGGTAAGAACAAAGAAAACACAAGGGAAAGAACCAAAGAGAGTTAGAAACAAAAACAAAACAAACAATGAAGAAATAACCAAAGAACAAAAACAGAGAGATAAAGACATACGGAAGGCCATAAATTAATAAAGACAATCAGAAATAGTTAAAGGAACAAGAAAGACGCGGAAAATAAAGAAGAACGATACGTAAGACTATCGCTTCATTGTGCTTTTTTTGCCCTGCTTGGAATCCTGGTTGTTTTATAAGTGGTTAACATAGTTATGTGGAGTTGTACCCTAGTTATTAAACTGTTATAAGTGAGTGTTAACCGTCTATTAAGTGATTACATGTTCCTATAATACTTATATCTTTTATGTTATGTTACTAAAGTTAATATTTTGTTAGCTAAGTAACATAATTAACTTAACCTTTTATAAAAGTTAGGGTGAGTTACATGGAGTTATGGATGTTGAAATATAGGCTTTAAGAATACGAAATTCATACATGGAGATGTAATATTTCAATGACATGTATTCTGATTTGTGGTGCATAATTCGTCGAGTGCACTGAAGGTATAAGATAAGAAATCATGGGTTTTAGAATGGAATCGAAGTTTTTGCTGAATGTTATCATTGATTTTGAAGATTATAGTATGGACTGCCAGAGATATATGTTGTTTGCTTTTAGCAAATAATTTATCAGAGTTGTTGTTCGATTTTTTGTATTTGGCATTGCATGTGTGTGATCATGGGAGCCAGACGGCCATAGCAGTGTGCTCATGTCTTTGTATTGCATGGTATGTTTGCTGCAGCCACCCGGCCATAGCGAGTGCCAGCTACAGCTTTCCACGTCCACCATAGCTTCCAAGCATGGTGGAAATTCGTGCGGCCATCCAGATAAAGTACGAGTCGGAGAGGCCAATCCTCATCCCCAAGGATCTGGTGAAGCTGTCCAAGGACAAGCAGTGGCTCCAACTTCGGCCCACTTCCCAACCCATAATTGAGTTGCTCACAGGCCAGAGACCCGACAAGAATGCTAGTCTGTCGGGTTCTACGGCCATGGCCAATCTCATCAAGAAGAGGAACCAGAGCTTCGACCAACCAGCAACACCAGCAGAGCAACTTTTCGATGCTCCAGAGCCAGGCTCAGGAAAGAAGTCGACCAGAAAGAGGTCTCTTCCAGACAACCAAGAAGAAGAAGTTACCATGGACATCAATGGTTCCAAAGTCACCTGCTTGATGAGTGGCAAGAGGCCAAGGAAGTGCGATCTCACCATCCAACTCGAACAGCACCAGATCGAGACCAGCATCAAGACCATTCGCAATGATGAGGATACGGCCCAAGTCCTCGGCCAGGCCAAAAGAAGCTACAAGAAGAAAGCCAGGTAGTAGCCACGACCAGTCCAGGAGTGACTCTTCCAGACTCTGCCAGGCCTTCGCAGGAAAAGGCTTGCTGCAGAACAGTTTTGCAAGTGTCAAGTGTTGAAGGGATGCATACAGTTTTGTTTGCTTTATCGTCTGCCTGCAGCCAGTATAGGCCATCCATGCATATCCATGGTCGCAGAACCATGCCACTGTTGAACCCGACAGATATATATGCAGGTGGTTAGAATCCAGCAGTTCCAGACGAGCAGAAAGAAGTTGCCCGGCACAGCCACACTTGAATTCCAGATAGGATATACCAGACAAGGCCACAGCCGCACAGAAGCCAGAAGCCATGGCTGTCCCTCCAGCTGTGGTCCAAGAGGTGGAGGCCATTGTGAATGGCCGCGAGCCAGTGAACACCAGAGTCACCAAGGTCTTGCAGGTGCTGGAGCACCATGGCCTCTGCCAGCAGCAGACCTTGGTTCCAAGCCAAGTTCTTTGCCACCCCTCCAACCGGGGAGGGCAGATGGTGTCCCACTTTGACGTTTGGGCCAAGGGACACCAACTCTTGGCAGTTGGCCTGCAAGTGCATCTGCTCCAAGGGTCCATTTGTCTCCAGATGTCCACGGACCCCCAAAAGCGCCAGCAGCAGGTTTGGAGGAACCAGCAGCTGGTCCAGGAGAGCAAGGGCTCCCTGGCCCCAGTCAGTGGAGCAGAGGGCCACTCAGATGACACATAGAATTGGTTTCCTTTTCTCTATATATCCAATCCATTTACAATTTGCGGATAAATGTATATTGTAGACATACATTGGCCACTGAGGATACCTATCCCTTGCCAGCAGCCACACCACGGCATTCTTGAGATGCCTGGAGCATGGGACCACGGATCCCAGTGGCAAAGCCATCTCCGTGCCCAAGACAGACCCAGTCTGGTCCGCCATCCAGACCGGGTGGCGGTGGCATGTGGTGGCCTCCAGTGTGGAAGAAGCCATGCCAAGCCTTCCACAGTTCTTCCAAGTCGGAGCCAACTCTGGCAATGCCATTGGCAGAGCCACCAGCGAGTTGGAAGCAGCCTGCCAAATAGCCATTCAAGTGCAAATGGGAGCCAGTCTGGAGTCGGCAATCCAGTCCGTTGCCAGCGGCGAAGTTGCCTGCAGGCAGAGCCTCCCAGCCATAGGGCATTATGTCTCGAGATATTCTGGAGGCACAAGCTTTCCATTGCTGAAATTCCTTTCCCACTTCTCCTCCACCTACGGCACCACGTGCATGATGGGCCAGGATTTCATGGAGGCGTTGTCGCACACCACCTTCCCAGACCCTGGCAACCTTTACCCATTGCTCCGCACAGCTCTATGGGCAACCCAGTGCACATCCACCAAACAGCAAGACGGCTTCGCACGACTCCTCACCAGAGCCGACGTCCAGAGACTGTCGTCGCCACAGAACATGGAGTCCGTCAGGACGGCGGAGTCCATGCTTTCGGATTCCTGGAAACTGGTCCAGAGCCAGCTTCCAGAAGGCACCAGCACCAATGCCGGCAGCAACCATCTTTACAAGTGTTTCGGCAAGTTTTGCGTCAGAGCCATCTTGTTTCTGACCAAAAAGGAAAAGCTTGGCCCTGATGCCCAGCAGAAGCTGGAGTCCCTGGCCCAGATTCTCGACCTTTTCACCCAGGACGTTTCCAAGGTCAAGCAGGCCACCCCAGCTGCAGAGGCAAAGACCATCAAGGATGCAGTCTCTGCCCAGCCATGGGAAGCCACCTTGCTCCAGAACACCCACATCAAGGTGGGCGACCAGTGCCCATGATTGCACATAGGAGTTTTGCTGTTTTAATGTCTGTTCCCTCATAAGATTCTGCTGTAGATACATTCCATACACAAACCAAGGTACACCTTGCCAAAGGAGCACGGAGCCAAGGTCTACCAGCTCCTGCAAATCAGCAACGAGGGTGGGACCATGGAGCACAGGCCAGTGCTCCAGGCACCGGAGACAGTTTTTGTGCCGCTGGCGGGGCTGGGGAAGTGGCGGGTCTCCCGCCACTCCATGCCAGCCATCGGCCCAGCCGACATCATAACCAGGGGACTCCCATCCAGCCATGCCATGGCCCAGGAGGACTTCCAAAAGGCAGCTGTGGTCACGGCACTCCACCAATGCTACCAGGAGCAGTCGGTCGAGGACTTGGAACTCCTTTGCATGGCTTCCAGTCCCCAGGCACTGTATGCCAAGAAAGCCATTGCCAGCAAAAAGCTCAAGCTGGTTCCATTGGGTTCCATCAGCAAAGTGAAGACAGGCCAGAAGCCGCCCAAGCTGGCCATTCAGGCCTTCGGCCATGACTGGGCCATTGGAAGCTGGAAGCAGGACCTCCAGTTCCAGGCAGAGGGCACCATCGTGCCATTTTTCTGGTGCAGGACAGCAGAGGGCGAGGATGAGGGCAACATGGTCTTGACTACGATCAAGCAGGGGCCATGCACCGTGCCCATCCTCCATAACCCTGCGAAGATCCAAGCCAATGAGCAAATCTTGCAGAAGGTCGAGGAGGAAGCAGCCACGTCGGCTTCAGCCAAGAAAAAGCCCAGGAAGGGCTGACCCAGCCTCTATGGGCCATGCACATGGGATCCATCCTTGCACCATGCAGAGCTGCAGGAGTTTTGAGGGTTCCAAGTTTTGCAGAGCTGCAGGGACCAGGCTGTTGCGGCAAAAAGAAGCACCTTCTTGGATCCAGGTGACTTGAGCAAGCCTCCTGTGGCTGTCCCAGCACCGATTCTGCTTTCTAGCCTGCCACCATGGCTATACCATGTCTGTAATTGTCTGCTTGATCCAGCCACTTCTTCCCAAGAGCTTCCTCCGCCTGCACCATGCCCAAAGCCATGGTCTTCAAGAAGCCTGCTGCCCCCATGAAAGCCATGAAGGTGGTCCACAAGGCAGCTGCCCAGAGCAGGAAGGCGAAGGCCAAGAAGAAGCCAGCACCTGTGTGCAAGGCGAAAGCCCAGAAGAAGCCAGCAGCCAACTCCAAGACGACCGAGAAGCCAGATCTTCCGCCTCTAGAACCCTGGGAGTACGGTGGTGGGTGGGAGGAGTGGGAGATGATGTCGGCGGACCCCAACTACGAGCCATGGGGGGGCCAATGTGCTCTGCCCAAGGATTTCCATAGAAGGTACCGCACCAGTTGATGCAGACTTCCATGCACTCTGCTTGTTTGCGAGGAAAAGTACATGTAGCAGGACTCTCCTGGAGCAAGTGAGCCTTCAGGGGCCATGTCATGCTTGCTTTGTTATACTTCATGCCAAGTTCGACGAGTGCATGCACATCCCAGCCTGCATGGCCATGCCAGGGATTTGTCGTGATTGCTAAAGCCAAACATGGCCATCACAGGCCCAGGCTCTTCAAGACGGACCGCATATGTGAGGTCAATGCAGGCCACATGAACTCGCTGCACAGCAGCCAGAGTTGCAGGCCCAGAGCAGAAAATCCAGAGCTTTGTCCTGTTTCTATATACGAGGGACATGTAGCCACTGTGGCCATGCCAGGCAAGTTGCTGTGTTGTGCGAAAGCCAAGTGTACATAGGACCATGCCATGCCGTCACGTCTCAGCATTTTGGGTTTAGGGTCGGAAATAGAAGTGGAAATGCATAGTGCAGTTTGACCTTAAGAGACTCTAAACCCTGGACCCTAAACCCACAAGAATACATCCCAAAGCATAACCTCCCAAACCCGAGAGCTCGAAGCGCCATTTCTAAGCCAGGCCCTGAAGCAAAGCCAACACCATCCAAGTCCTCCAACCGCCAACTTTCTTCTAGAACCCCCAAGCTTCGTAGGGTGAAGCCAAGCCTTTGCAGGGAGCCAAGTGGCCATGCCAGACTGTTTGCACTTCCATTCTAGGGAGCCAAATGGCCATACCAGACTGTGTGCAGAGCCATGCAAGGCAGGTCCATGCTGCAGGAGCACAGCTTTTGCCAAAACACAGACCATTCGCAGCAACAGCAGCTGCCAAGCCACCAGGTATCTCCACGGCAGCATTGCTGAGGGTGCCATCAAGACCAAGAAGACCAAGAAGACCACGAAGGCTGCCGGAAACCCAAGCACAGCAGCTGTGCACCAGCGGCCAAAAAAAACGCCTCCAGTTTCGATTGCCTGAGCCGTTGTGGCCATGCCAGGCCATTGAGTTTGTTGTTTGAAAGCCAAGTGGCCAGGCATGCCATGGCACACATGTTCGTCTCTCTTTTTCGTTCCGCTGCAGCCTCTTTTGGCCATATAGCGAGCTGCCCACAGCTAGCCAAAGCCTCCACTCCAGTGCCGCCATGGTCAAAGGAGTCAAAAAGCCAGCGGCTGCCAAGGAGGCCACGAGGAGGACCAAGCCCAGGGCCAAGAAGCCGGCAGCAAAGCACGACTCCACGGACTCCACGGCCGTCTCTTCCAAGCCCGTCCAGCCTCCACCACAGGGGACAGTGACGGCCCTCCCAAGCAGTGCCATGGTTCCACCAGAGGAGCCCATCGGGCCACACGTAATGCTGCGGTGTGTGGTATGCCACCGCTCCACTATCTTTCTGTGGAAGCTCTACCACAATGCCAACTGCACCCAGTGTGATTCCCCATGGATCACCAGCTTGGCGGGAGGAGCAGGCCTCGTCTACAGGTGGTGAGGGGCCACCCACCACCAGCAACCAGGCACCATGGGCCACTTTCTTCCATGCCACCAGGGCCTTTCTCCAGACGGCCCAGGTCGGCCATGGCTGCAAAGGTATGGAGGCCATTGGTTTTTTTGAAGGACCCAGCCTGCACCATGCAGGCCAGCAGCAGCATCTCCAAGCCGTGCCAAAAAAAGGGTGCTTGAACTCCAGAAGCCTTCCATGGCCATACCAGCAGCAGGTTGTCACATGCCAAGCCACAAAGGCCATCACATGTGTTATTTTTTTGTCGGTTATATATTTATATCTGCACAGATGTATGCTTTTTTCTATATGTTCAGAAGACCATTTGGGTGAACATCCATGGAAGGACACATACATGTTTTGTACAGATATAGAGACATATATAGAAATGATTTGTCTGGAGTAACTTGTTTGTATATTACATTCTGATTGTAATGAAGATATCTTTGTAAGCCATGTATCATATACTCAGCACCAACAGAAACAGGCAGAAGAAGAACAGCAGCATGAGCAGTCACAACCAGAGCAAGCAGCAGCTGCACACTGGAAGACCAAGAAGGACAGCTGGCCACGGCCACAGCAGCAGCAACAGGGGCACCAAGCTTGAGACCAGCATCCATTCCGATAGGGGTCTATAAGCTTCATGGTTTAGGGTCTGAAATAGAAGTGGAGATCCATAGTGCCGGTTCACTTCAGTAGACCCCAAACCCCAGACCCCATATAAACCCAGAACGATGTACCCATGAACCCCAAAGCCGAAACCTGCGAAACCCGAGAGCTCCAAGCGCCATTCCTATGCCAGGCCCTGAAGCAAAAGCCACCAAATCCAACTCCTGAAACAGCCAACTTTCTGCAAGAACACCCAAGCTTCGTAGCAGCAAGCCAAGCCATTGTAGGGAGCCATGTGGCCATGCCAGACTGTTTGCACCACCATTGTAGGGAGCCAATTGGCCATACCACACCGTCCCTTTTGTCAGCCCAGGTAGGTATGTGACCACAGTTGTTGCCAGAATCTTTGCTCTTCGGAGCAGCCCAGAGTGCTCGAACCAGTGTAGGAAGCCACAGACAGAAGTTTTGTATGTCACCATACTGCCAAAGTAACAAATACAGTAGAATCAGAATCTGAATCTAATTCACAGATTCTGGCAGTTAGATTCAAATTTTGAATCTAAGATTTTCCAAGATTCAGAAGTTGAATCTTACTACCAGATATCCGCATTTAGATTCAAATTCTGAATCTAGGTATTTTACATACATAACAGCCACCATATAAACATCATCAAATATTTCCACATAAACTCAGTCGTCATCCAGAGTGCCAGCCATGGCCACGTCGCCGACGGAGGTGCCAACGAGCCCCAGCGACCACCCCACCGAGGTGCCCACAGTGGAGCTGGCCGACCCAACCTTGCCAGAACACCAGGGCAACCAACGGTCCAGATCCCCCTGCGAAGCCCATCCCCGGAGGCTGCCACCGAAGCCAGCCCCACACCGCCAGGAGCCCCGCCATCACCCGTCACACCTTTCGACGAGCAGACCACAGCCCAACCTCCGCCCAAACTCAAACCCCCCATGGCCCAACCCGTCCCCCCAATGCCATGGCCCTTCCACGTCCCAATCCCCAACCCATGCCCAATCCCCAACCCATGCACTGGCTATGCTCCGCCCAGGCCACTTGTGCCAGCACTGGCACAGCCATCCTTTCAGGCCACCGCCACACTGCCCATGGCATCCACAGCACCCATAGCACCATGCACCTGGCCAACACCAGCTCCCATGTGCATGCCTCTTCTCCCCACCACCAATCCACTCCTACCAAGGATCCCCTTCCACCCCCCCGCCACTTCGCCCGCAACATGGCCAATCCCCGCTTGCCATGCTGCCACCGCACCCACAGCACCCAAACCACCAGTCCAGTGTCCCGCCAGCAGTGGCCTCCCAGTGTCCTTTGCCCCACAGCAGCTTCAACCAACCGCCCAATACATCCAAACCATCCAGCCCAAAGCCCCTGTCAGTGGCCCAGACATGGGCCCCAAGCTGCCGTCCAAAGCGCCACCCACACACCAGCAGAGCCCCTCCCACACACTCCACCGCACCACAGCCATGACACCGCCACCAGGCAGCACCACACCCAACACACCGGCACCAGACGGCACCACACCCGGCACACCGCCGCCAGACGGCACCACACCCATCACACCGCCAGCAGGCAGCACCTTCATGCCACCCAAACCCAAGCTCAAATACCCACCCACCCGAAGGCCACAGACAGTGCATGAGGAGGTTCCAATAACACCACCCCCAGCCAAGTCCACCATTTCCACCCCTTTCAGCACCCCTCCAACCCCAATCCCACAACCCAAGACACCACCCACACCACCGCCGCCAACAACCCCACCAGTGGGAGGGATCGACCTGCTCCAACGAGCCCAAACCCCACCAAGATCACCGCCACAATCAGAGGCCAGGTCCAGCTCCAGTGCACCAAAAGCCAAACCTCTCATGCTGACACCAAAGTGGGCCATCCCACAACCCAAGACACCACCAGCAGAGCCAGTTCCGTGGAGCCAAGGCATTTCAGGAACCAGCCACAGCAAGACCAAGAGCACGGGCTGGAAACAAGGTTGGCTGGCTAGCCATCTTGCTCCACAACCAGAGATGGACCAGGGCCCAAGAGCTGGCCAGTGTTTTCATCCAAGAGGCCAACGAGCAAGTCGCCACCGGGGCAACCCAACTGGAGGCTGCCAGTGGTTCGCCAACATGGTGCCAGAAGTGCCTTTGGCTTTCCAGAGCCATTACCAGGGACGACCATGGACGAGCCCAGAGACAAATCCAGTGGCAGCTCGACCAGATATAGATTCCATAGTTTTCATTCTACAATAACAATAACAGCATGCAGCATAGGCTTGATCCGGAAACCTCCCAATCTTTTTTGTT